AATTACTAAAAGATTAACTTAATAAAAGAGTATTAGAGTGTTAGAGGGAGGTTAAGTTCGAACTCCTCATCCTCTAACTCTCATTGCCGCAGTTCTCTCTCTCTCTCTCTTCTTCTCTAATCTTCTCTAATCTTCTCTTGTTAGTTTTTTCTGGTTTTCTAGCACAGTCCCATACTTCTAGGACTGTTTTTCAACTGAAATAAAAGTACTTGGTTTTATTGATTCTTCATTCTAGACCTTTGAATCCTCTAACATGGTTTCCATAATATAAAACTCTTCAAACATATGTTAAATGCTTGACTTAAAAATAATTAACTCTTGTAACAACATATTAATATCATAATAATTACCATTTTTATCCAATACCGTATTTGCACATTTCAATATGGAAATGTTTTCTAATTTTCTCAGGTTTTTCATATTTCTGAGTGAAATTTATGTAGTTTCCACAAAGTTTCCTCTTTACTCATGGAGAAATACCTAATCAAAACAAAGTTTCCACAACTTTTGAAAGGTTACAAAAGAAACTTCAATATAAATCCAAGGATGAAACTGAAGATGAAATTGAAATGATAAGGGAATTGTTGTCCACTTATGGAGCTTTGGTCTACTGATACCTTTTAACAATGTCAATTTTTAGCTGGGCCGTTGTCCTTATCTTGGAAATTGGAGCTGAGTGAGGTAAATTGTGGGGGAAGCTTGGGCACTGGGTAGTGACTAGTTTTGGGTACACTAGACCCATTTACTGGTTTGTGCCAAATCCAATATTACACCAGTTCTTTTGCAATAGATTGTTCATGCAGCCCTACTAATTTTTAATCCCTTTGGTTTTCTGAAGTCAGCACGTTTCTACCCTGTTTTCCTGCCAAATTTTGAATTTGGAAGCTAACCTGACTCTCCAATACATTCAGTTCAACTTGATCTTGATGGATATCTTTTGGTAGGATATTGTCATGATATTGTGTGAGTCTATGTAGTGAAGGATGAAGGGGCACTGTTATGTGCCCAAGTACTGGGGTGTATGCTTCTATTGCTGTCATAGTAACCTATAAGCATTGCATTTCATTTGAAAAACTAATAATGCTGTAATCCCATGCCATCTTAAATGCTAGCCAGACTGATTAATTTTTCACTTTTAAGCTTTGCCTGCTCTACATGTGGTCAGAATCCACAAATCCTTTAATGGTCCAAAACACTAAGCTTTGACTGGGATGAAATTGTCTCATCCATTTTGCTGCTAAATGAATGATAATGATTATGTATGCTCTGACAGGTTGATTGGTGAAGGAAAATTAATGGATGCTCTTGCTCTTTCGGATCGCTGTTTACGCGATGGAGCATCTGATCGATTACTTCAGTTACTAATTGAACGTGGAGAGGAAAACCACTCAATGGCTGGGCAACCTCAAGGTTTTGGAGCCCATAATTTCTGGAGCAACAGTTGGCAGTATTGTCTAAGGTTGAAAGACAAGCAGTTGGCAGCAAGGCTTGCTCTCAAGTATGCAACCTCTCAGAAGATATTTCCTACATTGAGTTCTACTGATAGTTTGGTTTAAGGCAGTTTTCTCTATCTATTTAGCTTGTTGAATGCATTATTGTATATTTGTCTGGAAGGCGTATATTATTTTTCGGAGTTGGTAGTTGGTACCATTTGATAACTAGGATCTCAGAATTGAGACCTACCAAATCTTAAAATAATACAATAGTATTATACATCTTAATTTAAGATGTCACTTAGCAGCTAGGAAGCATTTGAACTTGTTAGCTTACAATTTAAATTGCTTTTAATTGTTTTAAAAGGTAACTGTATTGCTTATGTTAGTTAAACAAGTGGCAAAAAATGATTAAATGAGCTATGCAAAATACAGATTGGATAGAGAACCCTTCCCACTACAAAAGAACTATTCAGGTAAGGATGTATCACTATGCAAAAACCCTCTCTATCTAAGTAAGGATGTAAAGGTAGGACCTGTGCCTAGCATAGTTTTCAAGTAAAAACGTATATCCTAGGGTAGTTCCCTATGTGTTATGTATGCATGCATGCTTGTACGTATTTATGTATTTATGTATGTATATAGTAAGGCCAGGCTTGAGCTTAGGCCTGAGTGCAGCTTAAAAAACTAGTAGACCCAAACTTTTGGCCCTATGCCCAGGCCGAGCCCAAGGACAAAAAATCCAAGCTAGTTCATCTAAAATTGCAAGCTAGGTTGGTGCAGGCTCAAATTGATCCCGCACAATTTGCACCCATATGGGTCATTCACCACCAATTAGATTGAAAAATGGTTTTCCTTTTGAGTTGGTTTAAATTTTCATTCTACTTCCATCATTAATTATTACACTTTTTTTGTTTAATATGATGAAATACATAATATTAGAGATGTATCTAAATGCTTTCTACATTTTTTTTTATATTTTTAAATCGTTTTTGTCTATCTTTTTAAAATTTTTGTTATTTAATTATGACAATGTGGGTTGACTGGTTTGACCTATTATTTAATTTTAGTACTTTTATTTATTTTTAAACGTTTATTATTTAACTATGAAACCATTGGTTGACCCATATAGTTGAACTATGTACTCCGTTACATGGACAAAGGATAGTTTAGTTTTCATGTTGGGTTTGAACACATAAATTTTACATTATTAAAATTATTGGTTATAGATTCAATTAGTAGAATTTATCGTGAGAAACAAAACTTCTTGAAATAAAGGACCTAAGGGGGGAGAATGGGAATTAGCACCTTAATGAGAGTGAATTGAATGAAGTGAAAAGTAATAGTTTAAATTACATTTTCTACCTTCACAGTTGGAGAAGGACCAAATTCAAAAGTAGGGGTGTTTTAGTCAAGAAAAGGTCCGCAAAGCCTATTTATTTAATATATGGTAAACATAGGATTTAATGAGTGGATGGGAGTTAATACCTTAAATACATAGGACTTGATAAGAGGGAAAGGAATGGATTTAATTAATATAAGGAGTAGTTCAAATTTAGTTTTTTGCCCTTATAAATAGAGGGACCAAATTCAACTGTAGTGGTATTTTAGTCAAGAAAAATTCCAGAATCTAGACCTCATTCCCATTTTTAATAGTAGAATAGGTTTTAGTGCTAGTGGGCTTGAGTTTTAATAGGAATCAAGGTTCAAAATATCGATACGCCCAATGTGCCAGTAGAGGCGTATCAGGCAGTATTTGTAGTTTTTTTTACAAATCCACCCCCTGAACTGTTTAAAATCCCGATACACCCTCTGTAGGGGCGTATCGGGAAGCTCCCGATACGATACATATCGGGCATCGGCCAATACGGGCCGATACGTATCGGTATTTGAACCTTGATAAGAATGCTGGCTCACTTAGGCCATGTTTGGGAGTGCTTAAAAATAAGTGCTTATTCAAAATAAGTGTCTATTTGGGTGGGGACCACACCATTAAGCACTTATTGGTGTTTGGGAAATAAGCTTGAAATGAGTGCTTATTTTAAAAATAAGGGCTTATTTTTTACGCCCAAGTTTCTAGCTTTTTTTAAGTGCTCATATAATAAGCACTTATTCAAATTTGTTCTCCTAGAATTGTCCTCAGTAAATTTTTAGAATACCAATTACACCCTTTTACAAAGGCACTATTATAAAAGTAATTTTATGAAAAGTACTTTTATGAAATATAAGTATTTTTACGAAAGCACTTTTAGGAAGTACTTTTACATGAAAACACTTTTATGAAAGCACTTTTATAAAAGTACTTTTTGAAAGCACTTTGACAAAAGTACTTTTAGAAGCACTTTTACGAAAGTAATTTTATAAAAAGCACTTTTATGAAAGTCCTTTTATAAAAGCACTTTTGGTAAAGCACTTTTATAGAAGCACTTATACGAAAGTACTTTTATAAAAGCACTTTTTGGAAGTACTTTTATAAGAGCACTTTTCGGAAGTACTTTTATAAAAGTATTTTTATGGAAGTACTTTTATCAAAGCACTTTTATAAAAGTACTTTCGTAAAAGCACTTCTATCAAAGTACTTTTATTTATTCACTTTGGATTGGATATTTTGAAAATGGACAAAAGAGTCACAATATGAAATAAGTGCTTATTTTTTTAAAATGAGTACTTGAAAAAGCTGGGTGCCAAATGCAAATAAGTGCTTATTTTTTTAAAATGGGCACTTGAAAAAGCTGGGTGCCAAATGCAAATAAGTGCTTATTCGAGTAAGCACTTGTTTTTAAGCACTTATTCAATAAGCATTTTTTTTTTGAAAATTTAACCAGAATTCATTAAACGAAGAGGAGGTACATGAGAAGATGTACAAAGCAGGGGAAGAACCCGTACAAATTACAAAGGAGGAAGCTTGTCGCTATACAAATGCTCCAAATACACACCACATTTAGCTAAACCATCTGCAGTATGATTGTGTTCCCTAGGAATCCAAACTAAATTTACATTTAAACAGTCCAAAGAATCACTAGCCTCTGCCAGATAGTGACTCAATCTCCAAGGTCTCCCCTCTTTGTCTCTTAACCATTTTATAGTATTTGCTGAATCACCTGCAATGACTAAATTCTGGATTCCCAAACTTTTTATTATCCTGATTCCTGTGAGAGCAGCCATCACTTCAGCCTTTGTAGAATCAGCCAAACCAATTGGACTGCTAAAAGTCCAACATATATTGCCCCTTTCATCCCTTACTGTACCTCCAATACCAGCTAATCCAGGGTTACCTAAGGCACTTCCATCGAAGTTAAGGGTCATCACTCCTTCACTGATGGGGTTGGGATGGCTCAAGGATGTTTGATGGGGGTGAGGGAGAAACAGAAAGGGGTAAGCATCTCTATTGAGATCATTGACTGAGAGTCCTTTGAACAGATCTGAGTTCACCGTCCAGAGGTTGCAAATATAAATAATATCTGAAATTAATTCCTCCAGGGTTCTGAATTTATTGTCAAAGAGGCGATTGTTTCTTTCGTCCCAAACACCCAACAACACTGCATGTAGCACTGATTGCCAATAAACTTTACCCCTTTCACTTAACCCTGTCCCTTGCCATTGGTGCAAAGTGTCCATAATGTGCTTTGGTATAACCCAGCTGTAACCTGCCATTTTCAAGAAATGGAACCAAATCTTTTGGGTGAATTTGCAGTGAAGAAAAATGTGATCTGCTGATTCACCTTCACTGAAGCATAGAATGCAAACATGAGGAGAGATGGACAGTCTTCCCAAAAACTTTTTTCTGCAAGAGATCACAAGTATTTAATTTCTGGAGACAAGCTTCCCGGACAAAGAAACAAACTCTTGAAGGGATGTAGCTACACCAGATCTTCTTATAAGGAAAGGAGGGATGTTGTTCATCAGCAATCAAAGCCCTGAACATAGACTAAGAAGAGAATTCGCCAGTAGGGTGCAGGGTCCAGATTCGGGTGTCAGAATAGGAGGGGGAGATGTAGGCTTCACACTCCCAAACATGGCCTTAATTATTTACACACTCATTGCAACTGCGCCATTAGGGGTAGGATCGTAAATTCTATACAATTAAAATCTTCTCTAACAAAAGTGATTAAGGGGCTAGGGGCTGAAAGATCAATTAGATTCTCTAATCGCCCAAACCCTTCTTTGTTCTTCCTGTCTTCTTGCTCTATTCTGAACTTTGTTGTCTTGATTTCTGCCATTATCTTAGTTAAATACATTGTTTTTCAAGCTTGAGCTACTACTCCATGCATGGGTCTTACACAGAAGAAAGTAGAGAAAATCATGGTTTGATAATGCCTTTAAATTAGTAATAAAATAATTTCAACTAATCTGAGAATCAAATAAGAGAATATCAGAAGAAATTGAAGGGAAGAAGAGAAGAGAACACCCGGTTGTGGGATGTCTAGTGTAGCCTGCTTGCCACTTCCTTTTATGTTAACTGCTGACAATAAAAACTGAAATTACAAGAATGCAATGCCCCTAGATAGGAAGCAGCAACATTTAATGGCAAAAAATAAACAAAGAAATATGGTCCAACCCATTATCCAATAACTAAAAGCCCAATAACGGAAATCAACAGCTACTCGCTCCTCAATAACTTACTCTTTGTGCTTGTACCCAGCATGTGAACCTTCTTAAAGAAATAAAAATTAATGGAAATTCATGTATTTTTTTGAAATCTCTCAAATAACTTGATATAAAACATCAGCTAGAAAGTATAGTAATAAAGGAAAGTTTACCTGTTCTCTTTTTAGGATAATTCATCTTCACCTTTTAAATCATTAGATGCTGACTTAATCACATAATATTTTATTTCAGATATCTACACAGATGGGAGCTAGATGCTGCTATGGATGTTCTCACAATGTGCAGCTGCCACTTGCCTGCAAGTGATCCAGCTAGGAATGAGGTAAAAGTTTTCATATGAACCTTCACTTCTCTTTTTATATACACGTACATTTAGTGTAGTATAAGTGCCATCTTGACATTTTTAGGTGTGGGTGGTATAGATATACGCATCTTAGTAAGGTCAAGTAAGTAGTTTGGTGTTCCCCTTCTATATTTGATGAGTCTGGGCAACCCACGTTGGGTCATTATTAGTGTATGTAGAGGTAAAAATTAGGGCTCTTAATCAGTTGGTCCCTTGTATGTATTATGTTGAAGCAGTGAGGTTATTCAAAAATTGTGTTATTTCTTTTGAAAAATTAGGTAAAAGTATTTTTTAAAACATTTACCAAGTTATTTTATAGTTTAGTAGTTTATAATTAGTATGCAATTACATAATACTGGTAATTAGTATGCAATTACCAGTGGGTCATTATTAGTGTATGTAGAGGTAAAAATTAGGGCTCTTAATCAGTTGGTCCCTGGCATCTAGGTGGCACTCAGTTGCCTTAACTACACTGTGTCCATTACTATAACCTTAGCTACATGTCTAACAAGAAGTCATTGGTGGGCACTATCACTTCAAGGGCCTTAATCATTGGTCTGATCTTCTTGCTACACCTGGTTGGTCTAGATCATTGGATAGATCACGAGTGATTGGGTTGGTGTAGGCATATCATTAAGATCTTCCAGATTGTTGGTCTAGATCAGTGATTTGTTCTTGACACACCATGTGGACTGCTCTGATCATTGGTTTGTTCTTAAGTATGTATGAAAATCCAGGATCATTTCTTTAAATTTGGCATTGGTTTTTGTTCTACCAATTTTAGTGATTGAGATGCATGCGTAACACGTATATGTAGTGCTGTTGCTTTGACATGGTGAAGCTTGTGATGGAAGTAATCTTGATGCTCTCCTTCCAAAAATTTATTTTCCAGGTTATTCATTTTCTTTCTTATTAACATACTTCTCTGGACATATATAGGTATTGCAAATGAGACAGGATTTGCAGAGGTACAGTCACATTTTACGTGCAGATGACCATTATAGCAGCTGGCAAGAGGTCCTAGCTCTCATTTCTTATCTTCTGAATCAAATAAAATAATCATGTTAATTTTTTCCTTTTATATTTTCAGAATCTATTTGTAATCTGCTGGGTTTCATATTCTCTCTTTATAGTGGAGTCATTCCTTATCCTGTGTTTTCCTTGAACATCAGCTGTATGCCTCTTTCACTTTCTTGCTATGGACTTTGTCAGGTTGAAGCTGATTGTAAAGCAGATCCTGAAGGTCTTGCACTTAGATTAGCCGGAAAAGGAGCAGTTTCTGCTGCTTTAGAAGTTGCTGAAAGTGCAAACTTATCTATAGAATTGCGAAGAGAACTGCAAGGACGACAACTTGTGAAGCTTCTCACTGCAGACCCACTTAATGGTGGAGGTCCAGCAGAAGCTTCTCGATTTCTTTCTTCACTACGTGACTCTGATGATGCTTTACCTGTTGCAATGGGTGCAATGCAACTGTTGCCAAACCTACGCTCAAAGCAGCTTCTTGTATTCAACTCATTCTGTTCCATATAAGTTTTCATATATATCTTTGACAAACCATCTTCTTTCAATTAACTTCTTTATTTTTTTATTTGAAGGTTCACTTTTTCCTAAAGAGAAGAGATGGAAATCTATCGGATGTCGAAGTTTCTCGTCTAAACTCTTGGGCCTTGGGCCTTCGTGTTCTAGCAGCTTTGCCGGTGCCCTGGCAGCAAAGATGCTCTTCCCTTCATGAGCACCCTCATTTAATTCTGGAAGTTTTGTTAATGCGGAAGCAACTTGAATCTGCTTCTTTGGTACCATATTCTTGCTCTACTGATTTGTGCATCGGTCAGAAGCCCTTTTATCAAATTCATAGTTTCCTCATGTCTCTATGAAGGAAAATTGTTCATAGATTCAGATTTTTGTCCTTAAGATAATTGATTTGGACATGGAATCTGTAGGTCGGGGAAGATGGGTGCTATTTTAGCTTTATCTTAACATGAGATATATCACATATGATTATTTTCTTATGGTATGCTATTGTGTACATCCTGTGTATGACACCTATATGATATTTATTTGCAGATCCTTAAAGAATTCCCCACATTAAGGGACAACAATTTAATTCTCATGTATTCCACCAAAGCTATTGCTGTCGGTGTTGTCTCTCCTTCAAGAGAACAACGGGTATCTGCCTCAGGTCCAAGACCAAAGCAGAAATCAAGAACTGGCATGACTAGTAGGTTAAATTTTACTAGCAGCTTCAGTAACTTTCAAAAAGAGGCTAGGAGAGCCTTTTCTTGGACCCCCCGTGATACTGGAAATAAGATTGCTCCGAAAGAGGTTTATCGGAAAAGAAAGAGCTCGGGATTGACACCATCTGAAAGAGTTGCTTGGGAGGCAATGGCTGGTATTCAAGAAGATCGTGTTTCAACATACACTGCAGATGGGCAAGAACGTCTTCCAGCTGTTTCAATTTCTGAGGAATGGATGCTCACAGGTGATCCAATTAAGGATGATTCTGTTCGCTCCTCACATCGATATGAGAGTGCACCTGACATAATTCTTTTTAAGGTATGGTAGAAATAGAAGCTATAGTTTCTGTTTGCTTCTATTGTTTACAATTTTGTTGCCATACTTGTATCAATGTACGTAGTATATATACTATTCCAAAGTAACTGTCCACAATTGCATATTTCATATTGCAGTTGTTGCATGTAGCTAACATGGACACATGTTTTAACTAGCTTTCTTGAAGTCTGATGACCTTTTACTTCTCTCTCTCTTTTTTTTTTTTTTTTGAATTTTTGGTGCGGGGTGGGGCACTTCTCTTTCTAGGCATTACTTTCCTTGTGCTTTGATGAGTTAGTATCTGCCAAAGGTGCTCTGGAGTTATGCATTGCCCAGATGAAGAATGTTTTGAGTTCTCAGCAGTTGCCTCTGGATGCATCCATGGAAACTTTAGGGCGAGCATATCATGCAACAGAAACTTTTGTACAGGTATCTGTCTTGGTGGAATGATAGAACAGCCCTGCAGTACAGCAACTTTAGCCAAATTGTCTACTTCCCTTCTTGGGAACCTTGGTAATATCATGGTTGAGGATAGTGATTCCATGATAAACCATGGTGGTGGCTTGGTTTCTGTTTGCTGTGGTACTAGCATATCCCTGGAACTCTTGTTTCATTCTATATCTGCTTTAGTTGTGAATTTTGTTTGGTGCTCAACTTGCAGTAAGTGTCTAATTATGCATTTGCAGGCACTCTTGCATGCTAAAGGCCAGCTGAAGAAACTTGCAGGGAGTAGTGACTTATCAAGTGTCTCTGAAAGAAGTAGGGATATTGATGATGCTTCTTCAGATGCTGGCAGCTCTAGTGTTGGTAGCCAGTCAACAGATGAGTTATCTGAACTTCTATCACAAGCAGATATATGGCTAGGACGTGCTGAGTTGCTTCAGAGCCTTCTTGGATCAGGAATTGTTGCTTCTCTTGATGATATTGCTGACAAGGAATCATCGGCACATCTCAGAGACAGGTTAATTAAAGATGAAAGGTATAGCATGGCTGTCTATACTTGCAAAAAGTGCAAGGTAAACATCCATCTGGAAGCAATTAGTTTTCTCTTCTGATTCTTTTTCATTTTTTATTTCTCTGAATTATTTTTCTTATATCGTACTTATCGATCTTTTGTACTTTTTGATTCTCAGATTGATGCTTTTCTTGTATGGAATGCATGGGGACATGCTTTAATTCGTATGGAACATTATGCTCAGGCGCGTGTGAAATTTAAGTATGTTGCATGTGTTTTGTCATTCAAAAGTATTGGATAAGAATGTACAACTGATGAGCATACTATAAGGGAACTGGAGCATTTTCTTCACGAATTTAACATTGACCTTTTCCTCTTCAATAATAATAATAGTTATAATTCTTTTTTGCCTTTTTTTTTTTTTGGTGCCTAGGCAAGCTCTTCAGTTGCACAAGGGTGATCCTGCGCCCGCCATTCAGGAGATCATAAATACGATAGAAGGAGGTCCACCAGTTGATGTTTCATCTGTTCGTTCCATGTAAGCCTGTGCATAATAAATAATTTCCTTTATCTGCTTAAAGAAGCTATGAATCTATTGTTATAGGGTTGCTAATTGAACAGGCTGGCTTGAGCCAATAGTGATCAAGAACATGTTCTGTCCAAACCTAGGGTCATCAAGTGGACCCCAATTCAATTCAATGAACACTGACTGGTTTTGGTGGTTTGGCATTAATGGTATGTTTGGTTGCCGAGAAAGGGATGGGAAGGGAAGAATCTTTGAAGAATATTCGATTTTTCTATTGTTTGTTTTGAAAGAAAAACTGGGATGGGAAGAGAAAGGCTTGGGACGGGGTTTCCCAAAAACCAATACGCGGGCTCACACCAAAATGGTGAGACCCCGATGAGAAAGGAAAATAGAGGCCTTTGTGAGAAAATTTTATCGAGCCAACAACCCAGAGAGTTCCGTCTTCTTCTCAGACGTCGTCCAATGGTCATCTCACCGACACCATCTCCGGTGATTTTTTTGAAAGGTAAGCTCAGATTTGGCATCCTCTCGTGATTTTTGCCCATTTTTGTACCATATTGGTCTTCTTTCATTGAATGAATCCTCTTTCACCTTCGTCTACTACCATCCTTGGTCTTTCAGACTAGTTTCCCTTCACAGAAAAATGGTAGATCTACTGTTAGAGGCGTCGTTCTTCCATGTCGACATCCATTTCCATTCATTTTAACACATGAGCTCCAGATCTGGCTTCGGCCGTCTACCTCTTCCAGATCTGGCAGTTTTATTCGCACTAAACGTTAAAATGAACTCGGATTTTGCATCTACCTCTTCTCGATCCGACGTCTACCTCTTCGTTTACCACCATCCCTGGTCTTCCATACCAGTTTTCATTCACAGAAAAATGGTAAATCTACTGTTAGAGGCATCATTCTTCCATGTTGACAGCCATTTCCATTCATTTTAACATCTGAGCTGCAGATCTGGCTTCTAGTGTCAACCTCTTCCTACAAAATTTTTTCATCAACCAAACATTGGAAGCAAATTTTGTAGGATAATAGGTCTCAGCAAACAAACACAGGATACCAAAAATGAGAAAATAAATTTTCCTTTCTCATCCCATCCTTTCCCATTCCATCCCTTCTCATCCCACTATTTCTCGACAATCAAACAGACCATAAATGATCTGGTTAAACTGGGGAAGTTGGAAAGGATCATTCCTGGTTCAGTGTTTTGTTCAGTCTTCAAAGTGTTCTTTATGGTAAAATGAAGGTTGATAGAAAAAGTAAAAAATTACATTTCCAAGCATCACACTGCATACAACTCAATTATAAATGTTCAAAGGTACAGAGTTTTTACTTTCAATGGTTTCCGAAAGTTAGACAAAAACCTGATCTGTTTGTCCCAGCAAGTTCTGGTAAAACTAGCAACCAATCTATAACTATCTTTTTTTTTGGGTCAGTAATAGAACCATTTCATTAATGAAAAAAGAGAGATAGGTACAAAGGCTGGGGCCAAGAAACTAAAAAATTGCAGATAAGCCCAAAACAATTGATTTCTTCCCACCCCTTGTTTGGCTAGTGCATCTGCAAAAGATTTAGCAAACCTCTTGACCCATCGCAATCTCACTATCCTACCCTGAGTCAACCACTTAAAGATTCTTTTTTCATTTAAGTAACTCCACATGGTACTCTCCTCCTTTTTCAACCAATCTATTACCAATTTAGAGTCTCATTCAATAACCAAGCTGCTAATGTTAAGTTCCTTAGCCCTTTTAACACCTTCCAAGGCAGCCATAACTTCAGCTCGGAGAGAATCTCCTTCCCATTTGCGTCTGAAAACTTAGCAAACCCTCTTCATTCCTAAAGACACCTCCAATGCCTGAACGGCTAGGGTTTCCATCATTGCTGCCATCAAAATTCAACTTCAAGAAGCCAGTATTCAGAAGAGACCACAATGGATGAGTATCATTTTTACTAGGGGCTGAATAAGCCACTTCCTTCCTCTAATTTTCTGAGGAGGAAGGAGATAGAAGAGGGGAGACAGAAACATGGGAGGGAAGTAGGAAGTCAAGTGTAAGAGATGTAATTAGTGAGGATTCCGTGGCGGGTTTTGTACAGAAATTGGGGTGTAAATTGAAAGATCCAAATGCTCTCAAAGTATTTTTTGAAAACAAAGAAAGAAGAAGCAAAATTTAAAAGGAGAAGAGTGAGTGAGGCTGAAAGGTTGATGAAGGAGGTGGGAGGAGATAGAGGCTTGGAGGTCAAAGGAGAAAGAAGGAAGAGGAATAAGTGAGGGCAGGAGGGTTTAAGGGGAAAGAACATAGATAGATGAGGATCTTAAGCTGGAATATCAGAGGATTGGGAAGTGCTAGGAAGAGAGCAATAATAAAAGAGGCCATCAAGAAAACAGACCCAGATGTGGTACTTTTGCAGGAGACCAAGAGAGCAGATTTTGACATTAGGTGGGCAAGGAGTGTTTGGAGAGGCAGGGAGATTAGTTGGGTGGCTCTGCCTTTTTGGGGGTCTGTGGGGGGGTGTTGTCACAATGTGGAAGAATGAAGTACTCATAGGTCAGGAAGAGTTAATAGGCCAATTTTCAATTTCCTTGATGTTTAAACAAGTGGAGGATGGATTTGAATGGGTGCTTACCAATGTATATGGTCCGAATGATTATAGTGAGAGAAGGAAGTTGTAGGAAGAACTGGCCGATATAAGGGGACTATGGGAAGGGCCTTGGTGTCTGGGAGGTGACTTTAATGTTATAAGATTCCTGGAAGAGACAAATAATCTGAGGCGGAGATCAACCTTGAGTATGAGGAAATTCAATCAATTTGTGGATGTTTACGAGCTTAAAGAGATCCCACTATCACACAATTGTTTTACTTGGTCCAATCTCCAAGTGAACCCGATTTGCTCTAAGCTGAATAGATTTCTATTCTCAAATGACTGGGAAAAACATTGGAGGAATCTAAACTCTAGAGCATTTCCAAGGGTGACTTCTGACCATTGGCCTATTGTAATCTGTAGGGAGGAAGTGAGAAATGCTGGTCCTACTCCCTTTAGGTTTGAAAATATGTGGCTAGGACACCCGGGGTTCATTAAGAAAGTCAAAAAGTGGTGGCTAGAAAGCAATCCAACAGTGAAATGGAGTGGAATGAGGTTTCATCAAAAGCTCCAATATCTGAAAGGCAAAATCAAGGAGTGGAATCTGTTAGAGTTTGAGAGGTTAGAGGAAAGAAAGCAAATAGTGACTGCACAAATTGAGGACTTGGATGGCAAGGAAGAAATGAGTTGTCTTTGCGAAGAAGATAAGGAGCTAAAGATGGAAATTGCGTAAACAGTTAGAGGATTATCTTCTTCAAGAGGAAATAAGTTGGAGACAAAAATCAAGGTGTAAATGGCTGAAGGAGGGGGATAGGAATACCAAATTTTTTTATGCGGTGGCAAGTGGAAGAAGAAGAAGGAATTTTATATCAAGTCTAGGGATTGAAGCGGTTACAATATCCACCTAAAGAGAAATAGTAGGGGCTTTTGCAAATCACTTTAGGTCTATCTTTAGAAAACCCCTAAATAGTAGGGTGTGGATTGGGGGTATGGAATGACCAACTTTGCAGATAGAGAATAGGGATTGGTTGGAAAGGAATTTTGAAGTGGAAGAGATAAGGGAGGCAATGTTCTCTATGGATAAATCAAAGGCACCAGGCCCAGATGGTTTTACGATGGCTTTTTATCAAGATTGTTGGGAGATATGAAAGGAAGATCTGTGGATTGTGTTTGATGAATTCTACTTTAGAGGGGTGATCAACCCAAGGCTGAACTTCACTTTCATTGCACTGGTACCTAAGAAGAGGAATGCATGTCACCCGAAGGATTTCAGGCCGATCAGCCTAGTCAACAACCTTTATAAGATTATCACCAAGGTGCTATCCATCAAAATAAGGAAAGTGCTCCCAACAATTATAGCAGATAATCAAGGAGCTTTTGTGAAGGGGAGACTGATAACAAATCAAATTCTGATAGCAAATGAAAGCTTGGAGGAGTTCAAGAGATCCAAGAAAAAAGGGGTGATTTGTAAATTGGATTTGGAAAAGGCTTATGATTTGGTGGATTGGTCTTTCTTGATGGAGGTGATGGCCAATTTTAGTTTCGGAGATAATTGGTGCAGATGGGTCTTGGGTTGTATCAGGAACTGCCATTACTCCATACTGGTAAATGGGGCAGTGGTTGATTTATTTCCAGCCTTGAGAGGGATTAGGCTAGGTGACCCATTCTCCCCCTTTTTATTTACTTTGGTAGCTGAAGTTTTGGGGAGACTAATTTATAGAGTAGATTCTAGGGGCTTAATAAGAGGTTGGAGAGTTGGAAGGGAGCTTGTGCCACTCACACATTTGCAATTTGCAGGTGACACCATACTCTTTTGTGAAGCAGGGGACCCTGACAGGGTTAGAAATTTGAAGCTCACTATACGACTTTTTGAGCAAATGTCAAACCTTAAGGTGAACTTTGGGAAGAGTTGTATAGTTGGTGTAAATATGGGCGAGGGGGAGATCTCTGAGGCTGCAGACATCTTAGAATGTGCAATAGCAAATTGGCCCCTTAATTACCTCGGTTTGCCACTTGGTGATAACCCTCAGAAAGGTGAGTTTTGGGTTTCGGTTGTGGAGAGGTTTGAAAAGAAATTAGCAACTTGGAAGAAAAATTACTTGTCTCTTGGAGGGAGAACCACTCTAATCAGGTCTATTTTAGCTAACCTTTTTGTTTACTTCTTATCAATCTTCAAGATTCCAACAAAGGTGGCTAGTAGATTAGAAAAACTAATGAGAGACTTTCTTTGGGAGCTGGTGGAGGAGAAGGACCATAGGGTGAGGTGGGAGATGGTTTGTAGGAGTAAGAGGGAGGGAGGTTTGGATATCGGGAACATAAGGAATAGGAACTTGGCTCTTCTAGGGAAATGGCTTTGGAGGTTCTCATTGGAGAAGGACAAACTTTGGGTGAAGATGGTGGGAAGTATTCATGGGGTTGCAGCTAATGGAT